AATACAACATCCTAAAGGTTTTAGCTTAACCAATAAACAAAGAAGATGAATAATTGAAATTTTCTTTACAATAAATATTTACTATTAAAAAGAAGTTACCTCTTGTGTACATTGAATGTTGATTTAAAATAATTAAATGTTTCTCTTCCAAATTTTTTTTGATAAATCTTGTGTAGAAATAAGACTTAAAATTGATTTCATAGACAATAATGATCATTTCTGATGAATTTAATAAACTTTTATGTAATTGATAAGATGAACGTATTAATTCGAATAATATTCATCATTGATGGATTATTTCCCAAAGGTACCGAATTGTGTACGATTAACTTTTTTATCTTTGTCTGTATTTGATGTTGTTGATGAATCTTTTTCATTCTATTTAAAAAGAAAAAAACAAATGAATTCATTCAGACGAAACATGATCAAATATATTCTTCAAATCTAAAACTTTGGAACTCTCTTCTTCTGTGAAAACTGAAATATCAACTATATTCTGTCCAAAAGAATGATGATATTAAAATAGTTCAATTTTTCGAATTACTTGAATCATTTATGCTACTTTCAAAACATTTTTTCATTTGTTGAGATTTGATAAATCTTCAAATAAAAAGAAAGAATTCAAAAAAAAAACATTATAAATATCTTTTTTTTCTCTTTACTTGAAAAGATTAAATTCTTAAGATCATGTAATATAAAGGGATGTTTAAAAAAATTTATAAATAAACGAAGTTCATCACATTGATTATGAAAAAATTGGTCGAATTGTTGTTGGTCTTAAAACATTTGAAAGAACATAAATATCTTCTAAACATCCAACCTATATAAAAGACAAAAATAACAAACAATTTGTATTCGAGTTGATGCTTAAACATGTAATGAATGATGAATTTTATATATCCATTGACATGGTAAAAATGAATTGTGATCAATAAAACCTCAAAAATCAAAAAGTAGCTAATAACTAACTTAATTCAATAAAATCGACTTATGCATTCAAATTCGAAAAAAAGCTACCTAGTTAATATCTCTACAAAATACATACTTAGCAAAAGTCGAAGCAATTGCTTGACGAACACGTATATCAGGGTACTGTTGTTTTAATTGTTGTTCAAGATAAGTTAATATTCGAAAATCAATATCATCTATAAGTTGAGCTAGAGCAAACTATTTTATATACATACAAAAAAAAATTATTATAATCATAAATTTCTTTTATCTACTTTAGCAAGAGTACAGGAACTTGTAGTATGTTGAATAGAATCTTCTAATAATTTAATTCCTATGATTGTAAATGCATGACTATTAATTAATAAAAAAAGGTAATAATGTTCGTAAAGCATTTAGTGAAACATGTATAACACGTGCATTATTATCATTAAGACATATAACCTTGAACTGTCTTGTGAATCAGTTGATACAAGTGAACATTGTTTAATAAAAGATGAATTGTTGTTTGAATTAATGTAGCAAGTAAACTTGCACATGCACCACGTAAATGTAGATCACCATGTTCACATAAAGATAAAAGATATGTAATATCTTAAAGAAAGGAAAAAAAAAGATACCTTGATGTTCCATAAATTTTAATGTATTTCAAGTCATATAGAGATGAGAATTTCATTTTTCTCATTAGGAAATTTCATATCAGTTACAAAATTTTTATTTAATCAGAAATCTTCAAAGACTAATGAAAAACTTCTTAGAGGATACAATTGATTTCATATCTCGAACTTCGGCTTAGAACTATTTTTTGAAGTAATTGTGTGATTGTATAATTTCAATCTCTGATGTATAAATGCAGGCTTTGAGCTTCAATAAAGTGTTCTACTTGATATCGTTTCGAGTCTGATAATGTTCTAGTCTTTTGTTGATTTCAAAAAAATTAAAAATAGGACTAGAGCTGCTGAATCAATATTCAGAAATCTCCGTTCTTGAATTTTCAGATTCCAATATATATATATATATGTTTCAACAATCTAATAGTGAAATTGTCATATCTATCAGATAACTTTCACTAAAACTTTGAGACATTAACCCATTGAAGCCACGTCAACTAGACTCTGCCACAATCCCCTTCACCTAGACCTCCTACTGTTACGATATTAGAAATAATTTTGGATTATAAAAAAAAGTCAAACAAGAATTAAATATACTTTTAGTAAGATAAACAAATGGATCAAATTGTTTATAAATACGATTTGACATATTGGTATAGCACTTTTAACACTAATACATGATTCATCATCACTTTTTATCGTACCATCCATATTATGTATATATCTAATCGGAAAAAAATATAATTGATTAACAAGTTTAGCAGCTTATTGTTCGTTTTTCATTATTAATCATTGATGTTGAATCGAATTTATCATTCATTTCAATAAAACAACATTGATATGTTGAATAAGCTATTGTTTTAGAAAAAAAAACAAATGAAAAAAAATTCTTGTTTTTTTTTCTCAATATTTACCTGTTTTTAAGGCTTCACTGACACGAATTTCTTCTATAGATCCAATTGGGGTTGAAATTAATAATTGATCAAAATCAAATAAATTTGAATATTTAAGTATAATTTCATGTGTTTCCAATGAACTTGATACAACATTATGATCATTATGTTGTAAAAAAATATAACATACCATACCATATCAACCCACTAAAAAAAGATTTACATTGAGATTAAAATCATTCATTATTTGTTGAATACTGATTGAAAGATGTTATTCATTTGTATCAATATTTTTTACTTCTATTCATTGATTGTTGATTATTGCTTGATTATGATTGAAATTCTTAGATATTTAAACCAAATAATTGAGGGTCGGGATGTGTAGGAATAAGCAATACAAACACTCACACCCACTTTTCAAAATGCCTGAGTCTTCTTAAAGCACATTCGCCATACTTTCTTCGGATGCATCTAACGAAGTTTGCGTGATAAATAGAGTTTTTCATACATCGAACGATAAAATAAAAAATATAAAATTTTTCATTTATTTATTTTGAAGCTTTCAACACTACTTCTATAATTATCAATTTCAAAAAAAATTTTACGATAGAAAATATTTATATAGAGATTAGAATAAAGTTCAAAGTCTAATGAATCATCATTACTCAAATTTACGCTTATACAAGCATCAGTGTATTTTTTATCATTGCAACAACACGAAGCGCAAAGGTAAGGTAAAAAAGGAACAAGTAGAATATATGAAAAACGAAACGTATTTTATGACGAACACATGGTCGAAAAAGTCGTTTACATGATGAAAACGTCATGCTTCATTGATTCATGTAAATATACGTTTGTGGGAAAAAACCAAGTAATTTTGTCAATGATAAATACAGAACAAAATCGATTGCAAGCACACAAAACAAAATTTGCTACACTCCAATATTACATAGCACGTAAGTATATTTAGTTTCTAACATTATTAGACTAGTAAGAAAATTAAAGTTAAAAGTAAAGAGTAGCAACACACAAAAAAATGACGGTACATAAACATGTGTTATTTTTATGTTTATAAAGTAGTTTTACGAGAACTTCGCTTGATGATACATGCAACCGATTGTCTTGGTTGCAGAATCTTGTATGTATAAAACAATCTTATTGTAAAACATATTAAACAGAGTAACTGTTTGTGTGCATACATTTCAACACGAGTACCAGGAATGAAAGGCACAATTTTTACTTTTAGAAATGCTCTTTTGCCGTTCTATGAACTAATGCGGACAGGTTAGATAGACAAACAAGCTAGACATGCCAAAGTTCAAGGACATTCTGGACTAGTTCAGACGTAGCTGCAGGAGTTTTCATGTCATGACAACTAGTTAGGACAGGTATTTTCGATATTTCGGACTAGTCATGTCGTCCGTCCTCAGCGACTATTTGTTTCCTTAGCCATTCTTCTTTATTTATGGTTCGATGTATAGAGACTTGATCCATCCGTTATCGTCGTTTTGTCAGTAACACTCTTGAAACAAAAATGAACCAGATAGTAGAGGTTCTTGAAGTTTGTAGCCGCAAGTCAGAAAAGAAATGATGTTAACCAACAAAAAATTTAACAATTATAAATATAGGGGACTTCGTTTCACTGATTATATTCATTCGTTCAATTATGATGAGCAAACAAAAATCGACAACAACTGTTACCAGTGGTGCAGCAGCGACGCCTAGCACCACCACTATTACCAACGCGAACAATCGTGCTGCTGCTGTGTTGTCTCGACCTATGCGTCGGGTTCTTCAAAATTTCCGGCTTCTATGGCTTGATGCCAAATTGGATGAGTCCAATGACGATTTCAAGAAATCGTTTCGACGCCTGCGACGTGTTGTAGCAAGCATCGAAACATTTAAAGATGCTCAAGAATGCATTGATTTTCTCAGTGCCATTAAAAATGAAAAGGTATTTATGATAGTGTCAGGCTCACTTGGACAAAAAATAGTAACAGATATTGAAACCATACCACAATTAGAATCTGTGTATGTTTTTTGTCGCAACCAAGCGGTCCATGAACAATGGGCCAATAAAGTACCAAAGGTTAAAGGTGTATACACAAAAATCAAACCGATCTGTAAGGCCTTGCAGATCGATTGTGAAAATTGTGATCGAGCTATGATCCCTGTCAGCTTTAATAATCTCGATCCATTATTCATGTATACACAACTTTTAAAAGAAGCTCTTTTGGAAATAGAAGATGACGATGTTAAATCGATTAAAGAACTCGTTGAATACTGTCGTCTTGAAAGCGATGCTTCCCCAACAACGATTGAAATGATCGAACGAGAATATCGTAACCATACAGCCATTTGGTGGTATACAGGTCCATATTTTATTTACTCAATGCTCAATTGTGGCCTTCGACAAATGGATGTCGATATCATTCTGAAAATGGGTTTTTTCATCCGGCATCTACATAACCATATTGCCAAACTACATCGCGAACAAAAAGCCCGCATGCCAGCAAAATTTCAAGTCTTTCGTGGACAAGGTTTGTCCATGGAAGATTTTGAAAAAATGAAAAAAACCAAAGGAGGACTTATGTCCTTCAATAATTTTCTGTCGACAAGTCGCAATCGTGAGATTTCACTGGAAACCTATGCACGGTCAGCTACACAGAATCCCACTTCAGTTGGTATTCTCTTCGTTATGACCATTGACACGACTATTTGCACAAATTCATCGACACCATTTGCAGAAGTAAGCAAAGTTGGTTACTACAAAGATGAAGAGGAAGAAATACTATTTTCAACGCATGCTATTTTTCGTATCAATCGCATTGAACGAATTCCCGATCATTACTGTGATCGGCTATACGAAGTTAATCTCACTATTGTGGGGAATGACAATCATGAATTGAACACACTTACAGCACACATACGTAAGGAACTTGGGAACGACAGAGGATGGTCTCGACTTGGTTTCATACTTATTAAAGTGGGAGAACCTGCAAAAGCAGAACAACTCTATCAAATTCTCCTTGCAAAGGCGTCTTCTGATGAAGATCGAGCAGAATACAATTATCAACTAGGCTGGGTTTCTAGATACCTAGGCGAGTATTCAAAAGCACTTTTATATTACGAAAAATCACTGGATATTAACAAGAAAATTCGCTCTCCAAATGATCTCAGTTTGGCTTCTTCCTACAACAACATCGGTTCGGTGTATTATAACATGGGCGAGTATTCGAAAGCACTTTCATCGTATCAACGATCACTTGAAATCAAGAAAATAGCTCTCCCTCCGAATCATCCCGACTTGGCTGCTTCCTACAACAACATCGGGTTGGTGTATAATAACATGGGCGAGTACTCGAAAGCACTTTCATCGTATGA